TCTAGGTGGTGGGTGGGGGCCGGTTTGTGAGGTAGAAACGGTGGCTGCGGAGGGGACGATTTTGGAGAATGGCAAAAATAGAAAACAATGTGAACGGTTTTTGGAGTGATGTTTTTAGAAATATTTTTAGAAATGATAAAAAGAACGCGTTTTCAATTATCTCAAAATTAACACTTAAAACACAAAAAACAACATGAATTCAAAACTCAAAACAGAAAACTGAAATACAAAGAGAACACCATCTAAATCCCCAAGAGAGCGGAGACAAGAAAAATTAAAAGGTCCGAAGAAGAAAAAACATAAATAGCACTTGGAATCCTGGACCTTTAAAACGTTTGCAACCGGCAACCTTTTTAGATGAAAATTGTCATTTTGACCGTTACAGGATCAAGTTTTTGATTAAAATCACTATCCTCCCCTTTATTTAATAATTTAAAAAAAAAAAAAGAAGAAACAAAATCAAATTTCGAAGAGAACACCAAACCAGTCTGACAATTCCTCCACCCCGTTAGCAGTGATGAGACTTATCTACACTCTCCACCGGCTTTTCCTGCCCGAACCCATCACCTGCCACACACCAGCTGTGAAACCACCCACCCACACACTTGCACACTCCGTCCCCATCTCCGTCACTATTGCCCACTATCGAAATACAGATCTTCTATTTCTGTCGATTTCCTGAACTGGAGAATGAACACATGAACTTCCCACCTGCCACAACCACCATTTCAACCTTTACTTCACCAATTCTCAAAAATCCAAACGACACCTAAAATTGCACGCAAATTGGCAAAATAACTTCAAAAGTTTATTTGGAAAATTACAGCCACAGTACCAAACCTTTCACATTTTTGCAGACTGCCCAAACCTTTGTTTTGTGCCACCCACGGTACCAAGCTTTTAAATAATTCCCACCTGGAGACCAAATTGACGGTTTCCGTCCAATTGACCGTTATGTGACCAAGAATAGTAGAGTTTGACCAATTTTGACAAAATTAGGAGGGGTAAAATGGTAACTTAACAATTTTCTCATTAAATAAATTAAAAAAA